CAAGGGCAAAGAAGTCAGAGAGCTTGGCCTCAAGGCTGCCGGTCAGCGATGAGACATTGAACGACCTGGTGGAGGCAGCCAAGCACAGTGTTGCCCTCGCTGAGGATCCGCGCTTCAACAAAATGCTGCCGGACCGTCTGAAGCCGGAGAATGCCACAAGCAGCAAGAACAGCACCGACGAGAACTACGAGTATGATGAGAATTACGATTATGATATGTACAACTACGACAGTTCCGAGTCCGAGCAAGACGACGAGGATGTCAAGGATACGACCAGCGTGCGCCCCAAAAAGGCCAAGCCCAGCAAGACGACAACGCCTAAGCTGCATCCCATTGAGGAAAGCACCTCCTCCAAGGTGAGTCGTAAGCTCTTGTTCAGTTTGTGGAAACTCTAACCCATTAAATACGCTCGCAGGCCAAGATCAGTGAGGATGATGCTACTGGCAATAAAATTGATAGCGACTCAGACTCCGTAAATCAGGACGATATTGGGGTTGATGAAGATGATGATGATGATGATGATGACGACGACGATGATGATGATGATGATGAGTAAGTCATATACATAGATGGAATTTGTTTGGCCTTGCTCAAATTATTAACTTGCACTCATTTTTGGCAACTTCTAGGTCTGACTTTGACGACGAAACGGACAAGCTGACGGATGAGGAACAGGTCGTCTTTAGCGAGAATGTGCCATGCCCCAGATACTGCACCTGTTCGCATAATGTCAACAGCTACCTGGTGGCCACCTGCAGCAGGTTTGTAAATCCATTTAAAAAGTACCAGAAGAAGTCGATTAACACTACGTTTGTTCTATTTATTAGACTGGACCCTGGCACGCAAAAGTTCGGCTCGGATATCACCGATTTGGTGGTTACTAATGTGGGCCCTAAATACCCAATCTTGCTGGGCGCCAAGTTTTTCCTGCAGCTGGGCTTGAAGTATGTTGCCTCTATCAAGATCGCCAATTGCACCATCGAATACATGCACCCGGAGGCTTTCCACGGCTTGGATGAGCTTTATGCCGTCAATATGACTGATGTTGGGGTGGCCATTATTAATCCGGACACATTTGCCCAGAACAAGAAGCTGCGCATGCTGACCATCTCCGGAAACGATCTGAGCGTTATGTCCAGTCTTCATTACCTGATAAAGGTATGTGGTACATACTCTAGAAATCGATTATATTAAAATGTTTCCTTTAGTCTTCCAGCATTGAGGAGCTGGACCTTTCGCGCAACAATCTAATAGAGTTGAATCCCAGCGCGTTTTCGAAGCTCTCCAACATCGTATACATTAGCTTGGCTCAGAATAACTTGCAGAAGATACCGGAGAATGTATTCGAGACAGTTGACAGCATCGAGGAACTGGACTTGTCCTACAATTCGCTGAAGGAACTTCCAGCCAACGTTTTCAATGGCACAGCTTTGTCGATACTGCATCTGAAATATAATTCTTTCACTGGCGATTTGCACTTTGGAGTGAAGGACCTGCAGCAATTGGACTTGAGCTTCAATTCCATTGTTCATGTGCATCATAGCATGTTCGACAAAATGCCCGGCTTGACTAATCTGAACCTAAAGGGCAATGGCATCACCAAAATTCAGCCAGACTCATTCCTTACACTGGAAACCCTGCGCCACATTGACTTGTCGATGAACGAACTGGACCAGGTCTCCAGCATGCTGTTCTTCAAGAACGCCGAGCTGGACGTTATTCGACTGAATGACAATCCCCGATTGAGTCAGCTGCCAACTGACGGTTTCCTTAGCTCGAATGGCATCTTCACCGTCTACTATTTGGATCTTTCTAACTGTGCCGTTGGCGCTCTGGGACACAAGACCTTCTCGACAATGCCGCACTTGACCACACTGAAGCTGGCCTGGAACAACATTAACAATCTGCCCCATGCAACGTTCGCCAATCTTACCAAGCTTATCGACCTAGACTTGAGCAACAATCTGATTACACAATTGGATGATCTTCTCTTTATTGAAAACAACGAGATTACTAAGCTTAACCTGGCCGGAAACCCCATTACCAAACTATCTGTGCGCCTCTTCATGCCACTCCGACAGCTCCGATCTCTGGACGTGAACGACTGTGAACTGACCTCGTTGCTTACCGACAAGCAGTTCGGTGTCGACTATAAGTTCTTTGAGACGCTGCGCTCCTTTAATGCGTCTGGCAATTTGATTAAGAGGATTTCCGACTCTGATGTTAAGGTCTTTAAGAACCTGCGCTCATTGGACATCACCCACAATCCATTGAAGTGTGATGAGGACTTCCAACAATTTATCAGCTATGTCTCGTTGCACACACAAATGATGCCCAAGAAAATGCCCGTGCTGGCCAATCTGGAGGATCTCGCCTCCGTATTTCAAATTGAATCGCAGGTCGGTTGGGCGCAGCTGGCTCAGGAGGTATGTAAGCACAGTAATATATCAGCCGATGAGGAAGAGGATCTTGAGAAGCGCTTAGAGGAGAGCGAGAAGAAACTGGACGATGACGAAAAACAGTTGCTCAGCGTAATGGACAAGAGCGTGCTGGATAAGACCAAGCTGAGCAACATGCAAAACATAATGAAGGGCTCGGCTAGCTCTGACGACAAAGATAAGGATCAGGACTCCGACAGCGCTGAGGAAGACCTGAACAATGGCGGCGAGGAAAAGGAAACCAATGACTTCGCATACGAGGACAGCGAGTACGATGATGACAGCGACAGCGATGAAGAAGATGATGAGGAGTCCAAGAAGCAGAATGAAAAGACAAAGACCGAAAACGCTTTCAAGAAATACATCGAAACCGAACTGAAGCCCATGATCAAGGATCAGGGTCTTAAGGTTGAGGAGGTGGACATTTCTAAGGAAACCAACGAAACCTTTATGCTAGGTTTGTAACTTTTCCTATCCTTTTCCGATTTTTGTCTCTAATTATATCTGAATATTTATTATAGACAAACTCGGCATTGACAGCGATGAGGAGGAGATCATCATTGAGCGTGGACGCATTTACTACAACAGCTCCAACTATTTAATACCAACCATTATTGTGATCACCTGCCTGCTGGTGATTCTCCTGGGCCTCGCCAAGATGGTCGCCATGATTCTGCGCAAGCGCGGCGAACGTTATCGTATGGCCATATTGGCATCGAAGAACTCCTTCGTGTACCAGAAACTCACCGAGGATATTGTGAAACCGACTAGCAACGAGCCAAAACAACCAAAGGTGCACCGATACGCGCCCATCAATCAGGTCTAAGTCCCAACCGCACAGCAGTTAGTTAGCAGTTAGCTCCGGGGACTTCGTTTAAGTGCGGAGCGCGGTAGTCGAGTGTGTTGCGCTGTTTTTTTAATTTATAAGTTAATTCATAGTTAAACACGTGGAAATTCCAAGCAAAAGGTCATGAAATACAAAATACAAGAACAACAAACAGTAATAATAATAATTCATAAAATAAACGGTACGACTCGACTTTCAAATCCAACTCAAGTCGAGTTTAACCGTTTGTCAACACTGACAGAAACACAGAGCGCCCACGTAAGGCGTGAGAAAGTATTAGCAAAAACTGAAAGAAAATACTGAGAAATAACCCCCCCCACATACATATATATATATATACATACTATCTATCTATCGATCTATCGATCTAGCTAATAGTTGTTGTTGTACTTAATTCGGTTGCAGCCACCGATGGCAAAGGGCAAAGGGCAAAGGGCAGAGAACGCGAGCGAACAATTAGCAACCGTTTCGGGAGCAACGGACTTTAAACTGATTGGACTCCTCGTATTATTCTTCATATCCTTTTGGCATACACATGCACGTATCGGATGTCGGATGATTTTTTGTATACTTTTGGAACAGTTTGAAGATTTAGTGCCATTTTGCCGAAATTCATATTATAATAAAGAGAGAGTGAGAGAGAGAGAGAGAGGTTCATATTTTTGAAACAGACACTCAGTCATAATGGAATGGTTGGAGATGTATCTGTAGATCTGAACCTGCCAGACTCCTTAAAATAAACCTTTGATATCAAATCTGGACAAGAAAAGAAACGAAAAGAAAAGACGCAAAGCATATTAATTACTACGTTAAGTCTTTTATTATTATTTTATCAATCAAATCAAGTACATTTTCGACTCTGAAACATATTCTGAATTCAATAAATTATTTTAACCAAAATGAACTTAATCTTTAAATTGTAGAAACACATACTAATATACAATAAAATATAATTATTTATGAATTGGATTTGATTAATTTAACATCAAATAAAAGAAAAAAGGGCACGGTAATCCTCTCTTTGTATTCAATATAAAATTACATCAATTAAAATATGCAAATACACTAATTTACAAATTAAAATATATCAAAATTAATATTTGAATGCAGGGTATAAGACAGTTCGTTCTACTTTTAAATTCCTTAGTAAATGTTTCTCAACCGTAATTACAAATAAAATGAAAAGCGATCCACAGACCATCTCGCCACAATTACCGAATATGCAGCCTCTGCAAATGTCTATTTTGAAGTTCGCTGGAATTTCTCTTAAATTGAAGACAAAAACATTCTCGAATACGATCTGTATGTAAACAAAAATTGCGAGCGTAATGCGAAAAAGTAAACAAAAAATCCTATGCTGAGCTTTGTTAAAATATTTTTATTTTCTTTCTGATTTTGCTGTCTGTAAATGTTGAGTATATTGTAATTTGTGTTAACGAAACTGAAAGCCATTAAGAAAACTAGATTTAAATGTTCGCGCGCTAGGATTTGGATATTTTTTATGTCCAATTAGAAGAGTGTACACTATAACAATTATGCTCAATAACAAAGATATATTCATATGATGCTTCATTTGCAAGTGGCTTTTGATGTTTAGTTTAGGTTTATAGATAATTCATAAATGTTAATTAATATTAAGTTACAAGGTCATTTGTTTAAATTTCCCCTGTAACTTGTGTAATTGCATGATGAACTAGTTCAGTTCACGAACTGTTCTTTTTTATGTATCGATATCGCGAAAGCTTTCGTCAATGCAGCCAACTTCATTTTTAAAGATCCGTTAGTTTTGGCTTGTGAAAATTTTGAGAGGTAGGTGCTATTTAATTATAATTAATAAACCTGCATCGAGTTCTCAAAAAGTTGGGCCAGTTCCGCTTGTGTTTGCGCACGTGGCGCCATTTTCGTGATGCGCTCCTGGGGCAGGGCACCGTCGACCAGCGCGGGAATGTCGCTGCTGGAGAAGCCAAGCTCTCGAAGGCCATTTTCAATGCCGGCACGCTGCATGTAGCCGCGCACAGTGTCTGCCAAAAGGCGTCCAGCATCGGCGGCCTTGACGCCAGTCACATCGGCACCCAGTAGCTGGGCGGCCTCCAAGTGCCGCTCTGGGCAAGCGGGCGCGGTAAACTCGAAGACAGCAGGCGCACTGACCACAACCGAGAGGCCGTGTGGAATGAGTGCGTGCTCACCGGAATAGCCGGCAGGCTTGTAATCGCGCACATGTCCCGAGATGGGATACGATAGACCGTGACAGAGGTGAACACCGGCGTTGCCGAAGCCCACGCCCGCCATGGTCGAGGCGAGATGCATGCTCGAGCGGGCCTTTAGGTTGTCGGGCTGATATATGGCGTCGAGAAAGTTGGTGCGTATCGAGTCCAGCGCAAAACGCGCCCACACATCTGATATAGGGTTTCGGCCCTGATACGTCGGGCGCAGACTGGGATCAGCTGGCGCTGGACCACGCTCACGGTAATCGACAGCCGTAAAGCTCTCCAGGGCATGGCAGAATACATCGAACCCAGCGAATGCCATCACCCGCTCCGGCTGCGTCAGCGTGTGCAAGGGATCGACAATAGCTGCAACAGATGCAAAAAGTCAGCTGGAGAAAATCTTAAATCCTGCTCCAGACGCTCACCCAAGGTTGGCTTTAGATGTTTGCTTGAGATGCCAGTTTTGGCATGCAGACGCTTATAGTCGAAAATTGCCACTCCCGTCGTCTCCGAGCCCGTGCCGGATGTGGTGGGTAGCGCGATGAGTGGCTTCAGTTTAACGGAAATCTGCGAGTATTGAAAAGATCATCAAATGGAAGAATCGTTAGCATGTATATCAACGGCTAACCTCTTTGGCTCGTCCAATGGGAGCATTGACGTAGTCCAGCAGCTCCGCCTCCCGATCACTACAGAATAGATTTGCCACCTTGGCGGTGTCCATGGCTGAGCCCCCGCCAATGGCCACAAACGCATCGAACTGATGGCGACGCGCGAATTGGGCAGCCAGCCAAAAGCTCTCGTCCGTGGGCTCCACACGCGTCTCATCGTACACCTGGTAGCTAATGCCATGACGAGCCAGCGAGTCCAGGGCAACGCGAACGGAGGGTAGCTTCGCCACATTTTTATCTGTCACCAGGCAAACATTCTTTGCGCCCCAGTTGCGCAAATCAGCGCCCAGCTCCGCGCTCACGCCCGGCCCAAAGCGCACAGTGGACGCCGACATCTGCGCACAGAGATTAAACATGATAAGTTATGCTGGACTTTGCCCCTCGCCAAAACTTACCTCAAAAGCATACTCTTTGGGGCCCGTTTGAGCTGTGGCCGCTGCAGCCGATCCATAATTATGCGCATGGGCTGGACATTTGCAGCTATAAAAATATGCGAATTAGCTGCGTGCTTAGTTCAAGTTTCCATATCACTTACGAGTTCGAAACTATTGTGTTTATCAAATTTAAAACGTTCTTGCGCGACATTCTCAGCAATTGTTTTCTAATTTCTAATCAGCTGCTCCTCCTTATTGATAACAGCCGCGGTGCTGCCCACTCCGATCGACGATAGCATTCAAATTAATCGAACTCATTTGTATATCGATAACTATAACGGTGCTTTTCATTTGTTGCAGTTCCAATTTAAATTCAAAACAACAAAAAAAATATGTGTGACTACGAGCACGAATACTCCTTCACGTTTGATGAGAGCACACTGGAAAATGAGCTCAGTGGCCGCCCGTGGGACTGCGGATTCGAGAGCATGTGGCAACGCATTGGTGAGGAGCTGCGGCGGGAACAGGAGATCAACGAGCTGGATCACATATTTCAGGAGAAGCTTAAGCTGCAATGCTGCTCGCAAATGGACTCGTGGATGTAAAAATCTCTCCCTATATATATAATTTGTATGTTCATTTCGTTTAGTCAGCCGCATTTTTGACAAATGCGCTTTTCTTTAAGATATTTAAGATATTGTTTGTACAATCGTCGTTTACTTAAAAACAGTCAATATTAACTTATTTAAATAACGTGAGATAGGCTCCGATCAAAAAAATGTCGTTCATATTTTTTAATATATTCGTTGTCCTGTGTTGCGATTATTAATTCAAATTCTCTCTGATAATTTATAATAATCGATCGCGATGGACCAAGTTAACAAGCACTTAGAAATGCTGTCAATGTAACAATATATGTATTTCTTTCATATTATACATTATATTATTATTATTATTAATATTATTATGTAATTTCGTTTCGACAGCATGTTTGTGTTAATTTTGTATAACAACAAGTGATCAGTATTTAAATCTACGATCTCATATGTAGAAAATATACACATTTTACGAAAGCTCAAACACAATTAAATGTGTATAATTATCAAAGATTCAGTTGTAAGTTATAGATGTCACCGCTACCGATCCCACGCCGAGAAACAATTCTCGTTCGCTTGCAATGAGAAAAACAATTGTTAAGTGCAGTTGATGTCAATTACCTAAGTGTATGTCCGCCCATATTTAACGCGAGATTTACAACTCAATTTTATAAAATCGCAATACTCGATCTTAAAACATAAGCTACACTAAACGATGTTGATAGATATTCCCATCGCCATTTACATAAACACATGAACCTCCGCCCATAAAAGGGACGCTCCGTTAGATTCAGTCATCAGTTTACGGCCAATTGTCAGCAGCAAAGCTTCCAAATAGTATCTGTTTCAGTATGAAGTGGTTCAATCTGTTTTTAGTGCTCGGTATTTTGGCGCTGGTCGGCAGCATTGGTACATTGACAGCCGCCGAGCCTGTCCCGCAACCGGGACCAGAGCCCAAGGGACGCCCGCACACAACCCGTCGCCCAAGGAATGAGAACGACGAGAATCGGCGCTAGCAGCCCAATCCCATAAGATGCACCAAACAGCAACAGATTCGTGATGCACAAACGGGAAATATTTTGGTTACGGTGAAATGCTTTGGATTCGAACAAATGCAATTTATTGAAGTTTTACTCTTGTAATATTATAAATATACCAAACAAATTGGCACCAGTTAATTGTTTACGTATACTATGATTACATTTCAAAACATAAAAAAGATCATCAAAAATGTCTCGATTATTACCAGTCGACTGTAAAGTCAGTAGTTGCAGCTGTTAAGTTAACTGATATTAGATATGATCTTTCAAAACGACATACCTACGCTCGGAGATTTGTCGTTTATATCGCTTCAAAGCATATCATATCTTCGTCATATCTTCGAGAGAGTCGATGGCATCGGTCAAAATGTCTGAACTATGACAAATTTGTATTTTCAGCCAAATCTGTCGCATTCCTGGCCGAACAAAAAATAAAAACCGGTTCCCAGATGACCCATATATCCTTGGTTTCACCATATCATTGATATAGTCCTGGTGAACGTACAGTTCCAAATCCATGCGAAATTCACTCGGAAATGTTCCTGAAACATGAATGTATGCGTTTTCTTTCAGCCCCATTACCCCAGCATAAGCCCCTCCTCCCACCATGGTTCCTAGACGACAAATATATCCTTGGTTTTCCTATACCATTGATAAAGTCCTGGAGAATCTATAGTTCCAAATCCTGGCAAAACATCGCTTAAAAGCTATATCTACACTGTTAGTTAACATACCACTGCTAAAAGGGGGGCGAAAGGTTTGGTTGGAAATTTTGCAAAAATACCAGGCGAACAGAAATGACTAGCAGATAGATGCACAGAAAATTTCGGCGGAGATATGTCGTTTTAAAACGACATAACTCCACCATAATAATGGTTATGTGAAATTATGTCGTTTTGAAACGACATATCTCCACCGCTCTAAAAACAACATTTTTACAAGAAATTTTACAAAAATACCAGGCGAACAGAAATGACTAGCAGATAGATGCACAGAAAATTTCGGCGGAGATATGTCGTTTTAAAACGACATAACTCCGCCAAGATAATGGTCATGTGGGATTATGTTGTTTTGAAACGACATATCTCCGCCGAAATTTTCTGTGCATCTATCTGCTAGTCATTTCTGTTCGCCTGGTATTTTTGTAAAATTTCTTGTAAAAATGTTGTTTTTAGAGCCGCCAAAGTTTTCTGTGCATCTACCTGCTAGTCATTTCTGTTCGCTTGGTATTTTTGAAAATTTTCTTGTAAAAATGTTGTTTTTAGAGCGGTGGAGATATGTCGTTTCAAAACAACATAATCCCACATGACCATTATCTTGGCGGAGTTATGTCGTTTTAAAACGACATATCTCCGCCGAAATTTTCTGTGCATCTATCTGCTAGTCATTTCTGTTCGCCTGGTATTTTTGCAAATTTTCTTGTAAATATGTTGTTTTCAGAGCGGTGGAGATATGTCGTTTCAAAACAACATAATCCATCATGACCATTATCTTGGCGGAGTTATGTCGTTTTAAAACGACATATCTCCGCCGAAATTTTCTGTGCATCTATCTGCTAGTCATTTCTGTTCGCCTGGTATTTTTCCAAAATTTCTTGTAAAAATGTTGTTTTTTTTAAAGCGGCGGAGAAATGTCGTTTCAAAGCGACATAATCCCACATAACCAATATCATGGTGGAGTTATGTCGTTTTGAAACGACATATCTCCACGGAAATTTTCTGTGCATCTACCTGCAAGTCATATCCGTTCGCCTGGTATTTTTGCAAAATTTCTTGTAAAAATGTTGTTTTTAGAGCGGCGGAGATATGTCGTTTCAAAACGATTATAATCCCACATGACCATTATCTTGGCGGAGTTATGTCGTTTTGAAACGACATATCTCCGCGGAAATTTTCTGTGCATCTATCTGCTAGTCATTTCTGTTCGCCTGGTATTTTTGTAAAATTTCTTGTAAAAATGTTGTTTTTAGAGCCGCCAAAGTTTTCTGTGCATCTACCTGCTAGTCATTTCTGTTCGCTTGGTATTTTTGCAAATTTTCTTGTAAAAATGTTGTTGTTAGAGCGGCGGAGATATGTCGTTTCAAAACGACATAATCAGCTGACATAATCAGCTGATCATGGCGATCAGCTGCGGAGTTATGAATGAAAAATTGCATTGCTTACCCACAAGCTGCAAAAATATCCTTTAAGGAAAAGGCATTCATATATGTTGACCATTTCGGCCATTAAGGTTCACCAGGACGTTATCTTTGGTATGGTAAAACCAATGATATATGGGTCATCTAGGAACCATAGGTTTTGATTGTCTGTTCACCTGGGGCGTGGCAGATATCAAAATAATGTGTGATATTTTGACAATCGAGGTTTTTGATCATTAATTTATTCGTTTATATTATCGGCTTGTAATTGTAAATCTAGAATTAAATTGGTCTGCTTAAAAGTAAACATCTCATATTATTGATACAATATATGTTTCAGTTGTCGTAATGGTAGGAAAGATATTTCAGTTATATTTTGGAAAAGTTTAACAGTATGACTATTGCGGATTACGTTTGCTGTGATTTGTTAGTCTCAATTAATTCTGTTGAAAAGTACATACACATGTGATTAATACATATATTTATTTATATTACCTAGACCTATATTAATAGCCATTTACAATTTGCACAATACTGCACTTTTGCAAAATTGATTTATTCTGGGGGTGGTTTCACATTTGCTTAGCTACACGATAGTTTGGTTGGGCGCTTACAAAATAATAATTTCAATTTATCTAAATTGCAATTACGCTTAAGGGTATTATTTCAAATCCAATCTCCGCTGACATTTAAATATATTGCCCACTCGCCTCACAGCAATTGTGGTCGAGTATTAAATGAAATTCATTTAAAAAAAAAATGTACAATTACATACGATTTGATTAGGCTATAATAAAGTTAAATTGTTTTTAGTTGGAGCTTGTTTTCCGGGCAAATGGCCCGAATGCTCTGTGGTTAATTAATTCAATTAATTAAATGTTTTCTCTTAATTGCGTGCATAGAACTTATCCTATATGTTTTCACATATATATTCAATAAATATTCAAGTTTTCTGTTCTGTAGTTTACCTCAATCTGATTTAATCAAATATGCTTAGTGGTTGTGTGTTTGTATCTTGTGGAATGTAACGTAATTTCTTTGAGGTGGGTGTTGAGTTGAATCTAATCGCATCCTTTTCAAATTACTATCGCTAAACTTTGGTTTGTTCACTCTTAACTTATCACTTTGGAATGCCAGATGAGGCGTAAGGGAAATAGGTGAAATAATATTTTATATGATATACCGATTAGCTGGTTCCGATCATATAAAGGGAATATGTTAGCTGCAATCAGATGTTCATTCAGGAGAGTCTGATGATGCGGATATGCCACCCAGACTGCAGGCACCCATGCTGCCGCTGGCTGCCACCCCAATGTCGCTGATGCTCTTCACCCGTCGACTATTCTGCTCGTAGAGCAGGTGGCTGTCCAGCCCGTTGGGATCTAGGATGCTGCCAACGGGTGGGGCACTCACACGATGCCCGGGTGGGCCGTAATTGGAGCTGCCAGAGCTTGGTGGCGGCGGTGGCGGTGCGGTTGTGGGCGGCGGTAGGAAATGATGGGAAGGATGATGGTGATGCGACAGCATTTGCTGCGGACCTATTGTAGCGTATATTCCTCCACCGCCGCCCTCGCTGCTGCTGTACGATGGCGTTGGGGAGGTGGAGTTTCCGAAGGAGCTGCGATCGCCGGCACGATGGGGTTTGCTGTTGAACCGAAAGGCTTTTGAAAGAGAGCTCTGAAAATGGTAAAGAAGTCAATCAGAAGAGAACTTGCATTCGTACTATTATAGTTTCCATTACCTGAGATCCTTTCCATGCCGAAATCTGTAAGGTAGAAGAGACGAGAAAATAAAAAACAAAATAATTCGTATTAGTTTTAAATTCGTTGAATAATTGATAACCAGCAGAGTACAATCCCAACCCATCTCCCAATCAATGTCAATTTTTTAAATTGCCAACACCTTTGGCCAGTTGCATCTGACATTTATCTGCGATTTGCCGTGAAACTTCTGGTATCGGGTATTTTTTTTTGTATATATATATATATATTAAAAATGGTTAATTAGTAGTCAAAAGTCAAATAAACGGGCTCTTTTGTCGAATGAAAGAGCGCAGTTTAAACAGTTTATATTTATTTTAATTAATTTTCATATTTAGTGCACTTTACAAAATGCTCATTAATTGTTACTTACTTGCAATAACTACGCATTGTGTTTGAGTATATTATATATATTTTTTATTTTATATATTCATAGCTCTTCGGCTGTTCTGTATGTATTGTTTGCTTTGTTTCGCAATTCATTTATTATTGATGTATATAATGCATGATTAAATGTAAACGTTGTAACGTGTTTAAATGGTAGCCTTTTAAATACTATATGTGCGCTTTGCAACACTGAAAACGAATAATACACTCTTTTATAACACTCAAACACGTTATACCGTTATAATATATTCTAAATAATTGAACTAGCTAATGCAAAACATTCCTTCAAGTTTTTTTTTATAATACCAAATCACACTCCATGCACTTTTTTTTAAAACTTGGTTTCATATAATTTTACCAAAAAAAGAGCTTAAATTTCATGTTACACAGCTTAGCTCCCTTGTAAGCTAATTCCTTATTAATCAATAGAATATCTCTTATTTGTTGATGCTACGTATGCTTTGATTTGGTGAATTTACGAATCCACACAATTTCAATAAACATGCGAATTTATTAGAATTTGGTGAGAAATATTATTCATGAAAATGAAATGCTCATCCTTACAAAAATTTTAAGTTTATATATATTTAAATAGAAGTTATATTAGTGTCTCTTATATTCTGTTCAACTCGGAAGTTTTATATTAATACTAAGTACTCTAAGTGTCGAAACATCGTTGTACTGTGTGCTCAAAGTACTTTTGAGAAGTGGACATTTATTTGTTTGTCTTATGTTGTTTGTGGTAAATAAAAAGTTGGAAAATAACACAAACTAATATGATCCTTGACATTCTACACAAGTACTGTAAGCGATAAGTTTTTAATTTATAGAGGCATAGACACACACACACATATAGTTATATATATATAGAGAGAGAGATAGAGAGTGAGAGATAGAGAGCGAGAGAGAGAGAGACAACAAAAGCTTCACGTCAAATCAGGCTAAGATAAATACAGAGGCAGAAATTTAATCATTTTTTATTTCCGTTCTGATTTTTGTTTTCAATTTTCATTTATTTGTTCCAATTGACTTTCGTGTGTGCAGACAATATAGCGCTAGATACATATAGATGTAGGTTATGATTAGGCTGGAGTTCGACTTACCCGCAAGTTGCCACTCGATCGCCGATCTGTTGTGGCATAGTGCTGCAGTCCGCCGGGTCCAGTTAGGGGCACTATGCCGCAACCGGAACGAATGCCTTGACCCAAAGTTGCTCTACACAACAAACATTGCAATACAACCGGATTGTTTTCGTTTAGGTTTGTGTGCGTGTTCGTTTGGTTGTGGGCGTGTGTGTGTATGTGGGAGTGGGTGTTGGGCGGGTGTTTATATGTTTGTGCATGTGGAGAATTTTGTTGCATTTGGCACAAATGAATAGTAGACACAAAACGGGGCAGGCAGAGACAGAGGCAGAGGCAGAGGCATAGATAGGCAGGCGGCAGGCAAGCACACGCACACACACACACACACAGACACGCACAGATGCCAAAAGTGTTGTTGTTGTAGCAGTTGTTGTTATTGTTGTTGTTGTTGTTGTTGTGGTAGTGTTGTATAATGCATTATTGTAAACAATCAAGACACAAGGATAGCAACAACAAGCCGTTGATTTTGTATACAATTGAATTGAGGATTTTACCAAATTGAAAGAAATAGTATATATGAAAAAATAGAAAGTAGAAAAGAAACAGGACAAAGACAAAAAACGGTTAATAATATTGAGAAATTGGTGTGTATCGATATTTGTATTGTATTTTTGCATAATTGACTACTTGTAGCGTAAACAACAAAATGATGTCTAAGTTTTATGTAAGAGAGATGATGTGGGGCCCCGAAATTATAAGGTTTACATAAACACTAGCATAGTATATCATATGAAATAAATTTGGTAGAAGCATTGCTTCATTCACATCGAAACATATTTGTATATGTGGAGTACGGCGAGTATATTAAATAGATAGACAACGAGTAGACAAACGAAAAATCTACTTAAATATAGACACATACTTAGACAAAGTGTGCTAATTTTAACTCGAAAAATCACTTGAGTTTTACTTACAATTGACATTGCATTGACTTGGCAATTAATATCTAGGATATTGGGTTTTGGGATTTGGATGCGGTTGTGTTTAAATTAAACGAAAACTAAGACATATGAACTACGTCCAAATATCATTTCGAAATGTAGTCGGCGTCTTTCTTAGGCGCACAAAAGTAGGCAACATTGAGAAGAAAACAAGCTAATGCATGTATGTATGTATTTATATATAAATATGTATGTATATGTATTGGTGGTTCAGGTGTGAATGCACAATGTACATGTTTGTATGTTTAACTGGAAAATCTAGCAGATAATCCAATTATATTTATGTTAGTATAATGTTCAGTTTATGTATCTGTATCTGTATCTGTATCTGTATCACAGTGGACGGCTGTCCACATCAGTTACACGGGCAATTGAGCCCAGTTTGTGTTTTCACATATATCTATATAAATAGTTGCTAGAAGAATGCTTTATTACACATTTAATGTCTGCTGTGTTTTCTTTTTTTTTTTTCGTTTTTGGTATCTGTTCTATGCATAATATGTTTTGGCTATAGATTAATACATATTTATATATAAAACTATAAACGAATCGCGTTCGCTACTTAAAGATTTGCTACCCAAATTTACGCTGGCCCGCTAAACCTAAACACACATCTATGTTGTCTCCAATATCTGTGCGGATCTCTTATGCTGCAAATGCAAATAACATCGATACAAAGAATTCTATTTATGCTTTAATAACTCTATTCGACTCGCGTGAGTTTCTATTGTGTCGCGTTTTCACTTTTGCGGCTGTGGTGTTTGGCTTAAATGCAAAGATTTCAGTTGTGTAATATACCTATATACCATATATATATATACTATATATACTATATATTTGTAGGTAAGTGGTAAACGTGTTAAGCTGCAAAGCGTACTCCGATTTCGCGACCCGACTTGCACTAAGTATATTTAGTATAGTATGGACATATCGATAATGCAAAGCTCTTCAGATTTTCGATATGTGATTTGCTGGGATTTCACTCAAAATTTTTTTTTTTTTTGTTTTGTTTTGTTTTCTGTTGGGTCATGAGCATCGGGGTGGGGTGGTTTTGTCTGATTACAAGTCCTACGAGTTATTTCGATGCTTATGCATAAGTATTCAATTTTTTTGCTATACTAAGTGAGTATTTAATTATGTTGATTTGATTAGCGCTGTGCTCCAATTATTGTTCTCTTCCTAGAATTACCAATCAGCTTAGCTAAATACATTATTAAATATTGAATCGAGTTGAATCCCATCGAGTTACTTGTTGATTACAAATACACACATTTTTTGCCACTGGCATTATGAGAATAATTTTTTGTGATTTTGATTTCGATTTGAATTTTGATTTTTCTTTTTTTTTTCTTGATTTAATGGCCCTGCAATTTGGCCAATTGCCGGGAGTTTTCCATTTGAAATTCTTCCATTTGACAGTATATTATGTATCTGCATTGGGCAAAATAGAAAATATGTAGATATCGCGAGAGATGTTGGAAGAGAAAAGAGAGAGAAAAATAAGGCACAAGCCAATTAGTGCGTTTTGACGGCATTTCAGACATGCTCTAAAACACGCACACAAACACGCCACATTTGCATGTATGTAATTATATATATATATATATATATATCTATATATAGGCATATAATACATACACACAGATACTCTTACGATGTACGAGAAGACAGATATAGTTAGATGATAGTGCAGCTACACATAGTATATGGAAACGTATGACGGCGCATGAACAAAGTTTATAGACGAGAGTATGGTTAGTCTTCAGTCAACAACTACAACAACAATCAGGACACTTAAACGCGTCTCTGGACTATTTCCACACTGGTTTACTGGATGATTGATAGAGCGCAGGCTGAGCTTAAAGTGATGATATGTACGAGAATATATGCAAAGCCGTTTAAAATCAAGAAAAGCGTCTCTAATGCTTTTATATGAGTGTGTGTGTGTGTGTATGTGTGTGTCTGTTGGATGAAGTGAATAATGAAGAAGAAGAAGCACACATATACAATGTAAATATATAAAATAAATGCTGGCACATTACTTTCCTTTATAGGAGACAAATTTGTCCCTTTCAGAATCAGGTATTCTTTTCAATTATCTCTTGTAGATCCGAAATGCAATGTTAATATTTCATAAATTCTAGCAATATTCAGTTCATCAAATTTTTAAAATATCTCCTATGTTAATTATTTATGTACAGTTTTTTATATTTTTTCTAGCTTGCATAGATAAATCCTAATTATAAGCTATCTCCGATTATGAAATGAACAATATTTGAATTAAATTAACGTTAACGTTTTTTTGGCATAAACATTAACATGAACCTTAGCATTAACATCAGCATTTACACTGACAATAAAATTAACATTAACATTAACGTCAACATTAACATAAACATCTATATTAATGTAAAATAGTTAAAGCTAGTTGGGAACAAAGCTCAGGTGGATCTGAGCAGCCAATTGATGTTGCATTCAACCTAAACCTTTTCCAAAAATATATTTAAAAGTGATTATTCAACACTAATACTCTGCCCTAGGTGAAATTCCTATACTAATTGGGCAAAAGCAGTTCTCTGATGATATTGAATATTAACGTAAAGCAGATGAAGCCGATGATGATGATGGGGATGTTTGTGTTTATGATGGACCATGCAAAAATGATGAGACAAACAAAATGAATGAAATAATGAGCACAATAGCAATAAACAAATCAAATTACAGGCATGTACGATTATGTAACCGACAATGGGAGAAAATGCAAAATAGGAAGAACCCAATCAAATGTGAACGAAACAATAGAAATTCTAATCGAATGGGTACAGTAATCAAAACGCTGTTTAACGCTACATGCATACTTATTATGTATACAGATTGGACAGAGAGTTGTCTCGGTATCGAAATCGACAACCGAAACCAGGGTTACATAAGGGACACACGCACACACACACTAATCATGTGGATGTGAATGGAGGCGGGCGTGGGGCGGACACTCACCTTGCGGGCAGGATGAGGGCATCAAATTCCGTATTAAGATGTCGTCGTATTATGTTCTTTGATGGGGGAATGCCCAGCGCCGTAGCCATGGTATCGCCCGAAAAGGATGGCTCCAGCACAACAAGTCCGCCATGGACGCCGCTATCTGCAAATGGAGCCGGACACAAGGGTTCAATTCAGAACATTTCAATTGAAACTCAACACTGAAGTGCTTAAATGGCACATTATCATTATCCAATATGCAACTGATATCCACTTGCAACGGAACAAGCAGAGGGATGCTCCATTATGGAGTACAACGAACTCACCCTTCAGGTTGTCCGCGTACTCGCCCAGGTCAATGGAGCGCACCCAGCGTATGAAGCGTTGGTTAGTCCAGACAATGGGATCCGTATCGACAGTCTCCGATTGCACCCGTCGCATGGCCAGCGTCTGACGGTCATATTTGACAATGCGCAACACGTGAATGCCTAAGAGCAGGAGCGAAGCCAATATGTTAGCTGTCAGTTGGGCATATTCCAGCTAAGGACTGCTGCTGCTATTACATACCATGTACAATGCTGGCCTGATGGAATTTTCGCGTCACACCGAGAAACTTTTCCAGCTCCTTCTTGGACAGGGTGTCCAGCATGCGGGCATCCACCAGCGACTGCAGGAAGGGCTCAGCATACTGCGGCAATCCGATGTCCGGCAGCCACTCGGTGGCAACCCAAGTGTGACCCAGTTGTGTGATCAGTGGATAGCGCACCAGCTCTGGACGTCGCTGCTCCTCAATGGCCAGGCGCAACTTCTTGCGATGCATGGGATGGCCCAAACCCAAGCCGGCCTCGAGCTCAACGTCGTTCAGCTCGAGCAGCACCTTGCCGCTCTTCACGTTCTCCGCACAGCGTGCGCTATATTGTGGCATGCCCAGCGCCACCTCCAACCAGGCCAGCACCTGTGTGGCCCGCCAGCGTTCTATGGGCAGCTGGGATGCCTCACGTAGCAGTCGCAGCTTTTCGGCATAGCCCTCCTCGGATAGTGGATTCCATGAGTAGTCGCTGTACTCGGTCACTCCATCGGCGGACATGGCCTTGCTCTTGTTACGGGAGCGTGCAAAGACGCGCGAGATGCTGCCCCAGGTGCCGCCGCGTCCATTTCGTGCGCCCAACGGTCCGCTTTTGTTACCAAACTTGCGAGTTATGGCGCCAGCTCCGCCTGGTCCCTCGGCATCCGGCGAGAGCTGCTCCACGGATCTAAACGTAACAAATATAAATTCACAACAATTATACATGCATACCAAAAGACTTTTTTTTTCTTGTGTTAAATTACCTGGAATAGGCGCCCGAGTTCAGAGGTGAGAGTGTAGGACTGCGTTCCTTGGGCGTGCCAACTGCAAGATAAGAAGATGAGTACAAAATGGGCTGGAAAAACTTTCGGCTACTCACATTGGTACATGTTCTGGCTGGAGACTAGAGAGATGCTGTCCGGATCGACGGTGATGCAGGGCCCGTTGTCGCAGGTGCCGTCGCTGAAGTTGAGCTCCCCGCCGGTGCTCTCGCGATCGCTGCTATTCCGTAGGCCCGAGTCATTGGAGCAGGAGTTGCGATCTCCGACTGTGGCGCCGGAGCCACCACTGAGGCTGCCGCTAAACGCCGACAATGAGTTCGAGTTGCCACGGCCACTGTCCTCGGCTGTGCCACGCAGGCCGCTCAGGTTGCCCGCTAGACCTGAACCGCCGGCCATCTGGCTGAGCATGCCGGACGCAGCCGATGGTGGCGTCAATGGTGCGAATGAATGCAGGCTCTCCTGGTCGGATAAGCAGCCCGTCAGCTGGCGTCGCGCCTCTTGCAGCTGTTCCTGCAGCCGCTGCAGCTGAAGATCGCGCGCCGATAGCTGCTGGGCCAGTGCGAGTGAGCGCTCGGCCTCGTCGCGCGCCTGCTTCAGCAGCTGGAAGCGCTCACGGTCACGATCGCCCGAGATCTTGGCATTGGTTGACTCTGTCTCGCGCACACGCTCCTGATAGTTGCGTATAAAGTCGCGCAACTCCTGCTCCTTCTCCTGCAGCGAGGCGCACAACTGTTTCACCTGGCCCAAGAGATCGGATTTGTCGGTGCGCAGTTTCTTACGTTCCAGCCGCATGGTCAGCAACTGATTTTTCACGCTACGCAGCTCCGTTTCCAGCCGTTCTACGCGCTCCTGCGACGCAGATGGCTGGGCTGCATCCAGGTCGGCGGCGCCTGGTTCAGCACCACCTACGGCTCCGTCCGTCGAATGCTCGAGCAGCCGGCGCAGGCGGAACAGCTCCGCATTCAAACGTTCGTTCTCCTCGCGCAGCTTCATGGCTGTCTCTGCAAGAGAACGTTGGGTTTTAGATGAGTATGTGGCCAGCCAGCTGGCCGGATGGAGTGCCGCGCTAAGCTCAAGCCGTGGAAAAGCGGGGACGGTGTCGTTGTCGATGATGCTACACGTTAGTTAGCAGCTTGCCCCATGGCTCCTATAGCTACTATTTATCTATATGCCAGGCGTTCTACCATACTTCAGGCCCCCAGGCCAACTCATCCCGCCAACACTTCCAGTTGACATGTCGCCCAGTCAGCTGCCAACTACTTTGCATGCCAAATCTCTAAACACAGAACTACGAACGAGCAAAACTAAAGAGTGTGCAGTGTGTGAATGGCGCTTGAGCAGGAAAAGTTTTCGGTTTAAACTGAAAACAAGTTAAATGGGCTAGGTCAAGGATCAATCTGGACAAATTCCGAACGGGTGGCAACTAGCCAGGAGGGGGATGGGGTTGAGTGTGTGAGTAGGGCATGCGGGTTAAATGTTAATGCGAGTGCTGATAGGACGTCTGCTGTGCTCCAATTAAAAGTACAGAGCGGAAATGGCAGATGAAAAGTGAGGAAAACGCAAGATTGAAATGGCGAATGGCGCATGGCGAATGGGGAATGGCTTTATTACGGGTGCGGGTGCAAGAGTACGAGTCTCGGATCGACTTACCTGGACGAAATATGAACTTTGACTCGTCATTGCGATTGCCATCAGGAATGCTGTTCGAGTTTATGTGTTGGCTTGTGGTGCTTGCCTCTAGCATCAGCAGCGCGGCGGATGCAGCCGATGTCGGTGAGCAGGACGTTGGGGATGCCAACGGCTTCAGCACGGCCGTGGGCATGGGTACGGGCATTGCCGTTGCGGATTTAACTTTCATTGTCTTCGATATGGTAGGTAATGAGGCTGCGCCGACCGCTGCCAGCTCCGGTTCCATTAATTTCACAATCGAGCAAACATCATTCGCATTTCTCTTGTCGACTGCATTTATATTGTTGTGTATTGAGTATTTCCCCCCAAATACACACCAAATGGGGAATTTCAATCGAATTCGTGATTTTCGTCAATAAGTGGGTTGAGTGTCCAAATGGATGGGGGTTGGGGGTGTTAACAAAATAAATAACAACAGTAATAACAACAGCAACAGCAACGATTTAAGCACATCATGTTAAATGTAAATGTTAATGTTAATGTAAATGTTAATGATTATGTTAAGGATTATTATGTTTAAGATTATGTAGGAGGGCTGACACAATGGAGTTGAGTATGTTTGCGTATGTGTGTATGTGAGTGTCAGTTTGATTAGATCTTTGATTTGGATTATTCACACACACGTACACACTCACACACACAGACGCACCCACACACACACAGGGAAGTGGAACGTGCAGGTTTCTATTTGATTCTGAATAGCTAAATACAATGTGAAAACCAAATGCCATCCGAAGTACTTAAACATACTTAAAAAGGATATTTAACAAACATAAAATGTATATACAACAATCAATATGCATTTTGAATTTTCAACATTTAACTAAAATACGTAATTACATTTATATCATATTTTATTATAGTAATTGGAGATGAATTCGATTTGACTTTTTATCAGCGAATTCACTTTAAATGAATTTCAAACTCATTCATGTGTATATTTAACTTAAATCGTTGGCTCACACATCTATTTTATTATTATTTATTCATTCAACTCTGCACGTTTTTTCTTAATAATTTGTATTAAAGGCAAGGCTATAAATTCCATTTTAACAATTGCGGGAAATAAATTCGCAGTAATCCATAAGTTATGAAAAAAGCTACAATAAATGCTGGCAATTATTTATAGATACCCATAACCTAATCATACCTAGTCAGGTTAAAAAAATATCAAATTGCATTTAGTTTTAACAGACTTGTATAGGATGAAATTTGTAACGCTTTATGAAAGATATAAACCCATGAAATATCGAAGACTGAGTCGTGTTTGGAAACTATTTGATTGGATAAAATCAACTTTAAGAAGTCTCATATTGAATATCTGACTCTTTAAAAAGGAAACTGCTCTGAGTAGTCAGTTGCAGCCACATCAAGATGTGGCAAATTTGAGGGGCTATGCTAATGCGACCGCATCACATAGGGATGTGCATCTCGTCTGGCAGCGTGATTTGCGATTCCCTGCAGCTCGATTGCTATTCGACAACAGCTGCCGCAATCTCGATTCTAATCCTGATGACAGCAGGTCGGGTCCGCGTCTCCGTAGCTGAATCCATCAGAGCGGCTTGTACAGCGCTTCGGTACGTTTTGTGCCCGGGCCATTAAAATGGCTGCTGCTATCATTCTGCGAGAGTTTTGCCGGGCAGGCGAATTTCCATCTCTTTGGCACACCCCAACATAATCTGAACCCCAACTGCACTTTGGCTCGTTTTTGCTAGCCGCCGCATTTCCAAATCCAGCTGCGTACCCATTGCCGTTCCTAATTCGAGTAAGTAAGAGATTTGCGTTTGTCATCTTCTTCATGTGCTCGTTGCTCGAGTTTCCTCGATTTGTTTTCTGGCATATTTTCCACTGCTCGGCTCTGATTTGGTCAACCAGCCCGATTTTAATTTTAATTTTTAATTTTACGACTAACATCGCAAAAGCAACTGCAGAGAGTGTCCAGTGAAGGCAGCTTAACGTATCCTGTTCAATACCTGATGCAAATACTGTGCAACTGATTGTGGCATATGCAAAATACCCAAGTAAATTCAGTTTTCCGAATTTTTAATGCAACAGACTAAAAACCATTTCAGCCCAAACTGTTTTTTGCCTCTCGTAAATCATAATCGAAAAGCAATAGCACAGATGATACAAGGCATACGGAAAATGTGCCCAAATGCTATTCCTGTAATTGAAACCCATTTATTATGGCACCTGTTTTCGATATGTGCTCAAGGTAAACAAAGTTTCTTTTCGGTAAGAATAACCAAAGTGAATGGTGTAATTAACATGTGAGAGGGGACTAGGAACAAGCAAGAGTGCACTAGTTGGGTGTGCCAGACTAAGAGGTACCCTAAGCCCAACGTAACGCTGGCAAACATTCTAACTTTCTTTACCTTTCTTTGTCCAATTTTGGGCATATTAAATTGTCTATATACCAAAGCGCAAGGCTCTTTTCGGGTGATTGGAAATGGTATCCAAAAAGTTAAATTATGCTGGTAAATCCAGCTCTGAATTTCGACCTTTGTTGAAAAAAATTGGATTAAACATCGATAAAGAAAAAGGATAGATTCGTGGTAAGTTTGGTATAGGAGCATATATATTAGCAATGGTCAGATCTTGACAGTTTATTGTCCTGATCAGAATTATATATCCTGCTACACCTGTTACATACGCACGAAAAGCAACCTACCCTCTTTATCCAATTGCAAGGATACAGGACATCAAATTAAGGTACGTATATGCAGAATTTAAATTGTTTTTTGTGTGGCAGATAGTGTAACAAAAGAGGACAATTTGTGACTATGGTTTATGGTCGTTCCCGTGCTGGGTCGCACATATATATATATATATGTATATACATATGCAATATATATATATACGCATGTGTGCACATGTAAGTGCTTTAAGCCCTATCCAGATGCAGCTGAGCTAATTGCGCCCACTCACATACCCACTCAGCTGGAATGTTATAGAAATGCATTTCGGGGAGCGGGACAGGCTGGCACTTACCGGCGTTGAGCTGGCTGCCGCTGGCGTTGACCTGGGCCAAGTGACCGGCGGCAATCAAATTTGAGTTATTCGCATGGATCATGGCTGCCGTGGATATTGTGGTGCCGGAGTTGGCGCTGCTGCCATTCACTAATTGCGACTGTGGTAGACCAATCCCAATCCCAATCACCGCAGCTTGTGCTTGTCCCAATGTGTCGCCCTTGGCGGCCAGGCGATTCTGGTTGTCGATGGTCATGGGTGGCGTGAGCGTCTGATTGCTCCCATTCGAGCTGGCCGGGGAGCTGCTGCTGGTATCGGAGGCAGAGGGTGTCAGTTCCCGTTTGCCTGCCAGTAGGCTGTTCTGCTTTAATGCGGATGGCGCTGCGCCTGCCGATGAGGTCGAGGAGGCGATGCCTCCACCAGCCGCCTGGTTGATGCAGCTGCTGCTGCTGTTGTCCAAGGAAAGCACCGGCTTAACGGGCTTGTTGTTGTTGACGGACTTCTCTTTGAGCGCACCCACACTCGAGTCCAGTGACTTGACAATTTTCTGCAATGTTGGACAAGCGTTTAATGAATGCAAGCACTTCAATTAGCCAGCGTCTATGCATAAGTAGGATAGTAGAGATGTTCAAAAATAGAGAGACACAGAGAGAGACAGAAAGTGAGAGAGCGAGAGAGAGAGAGAGAGAAAGGCGGATAGAGGCTGATGTTGTACACGTGAGCTCTGTCCGAGTCCGAAGTCAATTAGTCAATGAAAATGTGTGAGCGGGGGGTAAATTGAAAAATTTGTGGAAAGTGGAGATGTGCCAAAACTTTTGCAAGCATAAAGTATAAGCATGTGAAAGTGGAACAGCGCTGAATGGCGAGTGGCATGCAAATTGTATGTTGACCCCTAACCCTAACCCAGCCCACACCCCCAATTCCCCGCCTACCACCAGCGGCGCTAACAAGCAAATGAATGAGGCCCAATTAGGTTAAACATCAAGTGAATGGGGGGTATTTTTTTTTTGTGGTTGTTGTTGTTGTTGTTGTTGTAGCGGGGCTGGGGCATGCAGGGTTGGCACTTGGATTGGTTGTGTTGTACTTGGTGTACTTACGGATTCGCCGAGCTTGTGCAGCGAGGCATTTATGCGATCCGGATTGCGTGGCGGCGGCTCTGGTGGCTCTGATGCGGCCATGGTTGGTCCGGCAGCCAGACCGTTTATTTGCATACCTCACACACAACTGAAGCGCTCCCAGTCCTAGTGCCCGAGAGCCAGAGCCAGTGCCTGTGTCTGTCCCAGTCGCAGTCGCTCTATGCTAGTTGCTAGTTGCCCAGATATTGAATACGAATGTACAAGTGTGCTGCGCCCGACCGCAAGTATTTCAACTGCCACAATTTGCACCATGCGCAGCCCGCTCTAACATTCTGACTACCATTACAAACAGACCCGAGGAAATACGTACACAGAGTGGGGGAGACAGAGAGAGAGACACACACCCGATATGCCACAGATGTTGGCCGCTGATTCCGATGATGATGTTTTCCTCTGTCCCAGTTCGAATCCTTGCTTTTAATCCCTTAATTGCTCAACTTTTCGTTTGATGATTTTCGTTTTCAGTAGCCGTCGACTGCGAATGCATCTGTAAATAAATGAAGAAGCTTTATTGAGCCATTTCTTTCCATAGCTTGTGGGCTCTTAATTATATATATATCTACCAGAAATACATATAAAGAGGAAGGCATTTTAAGTTATTTATACATTCTTTTAATATACTAAAGAATTTTCAAGTTTAACCTACAAAATCACGATGCGCAAAAAGTGAATCTCCAAAGCTCTCCAGAAGCGAAACGTACAAAGCATCGATATATCGATACTTTTCACTTTATAGCATCGATGCTAATGCAGTACTTGCCGAACACAACTATCTCTAGTATTGCCCGGAGGTTCCTTGAACATCATTAGTACTATTTGAGGGTATATACCTTAGTCGATTTGGGCTTAAAGCTCTTTTCGTACCCTTTTTACTGCTGGCTGTAAACACTTTATCGCAGTCGGACCTTATATGTGTGGGTATAGATGTAATCCACTGCTCATAACATCGGTTTTGAGTTGTTTCCACTCTTCTATGCATCCAGTTGCGTGTCAGGAGTCGGTTTTAGTGCACTGCGTCCGGAAAATAGTAAATGTAAAAGCAGAACGCTTGTAATAGAAACGGTAATGGGTACCGCCAAATGGGTTAGGGTTAGGTGGGACTATACAGAAGTGTTGATTTGGTACATATATATTATGTTGAGTGCTTTCCAGAAATAATTTACGGTTAAGCAATTTCAGTTTTATGCGCACACGTTGTTCAGAGCCTTAACTATCAGTTCTTGCACCCATTTTATGAGCGCAGCTTGAGTATTTTACAAAATCGGCAAAAAGTTATGTTTTCATTAATATTTTTCATGCGCTAACTTTTAACTGTAAAACATTAATGTTACTTCGCCTCATACAATACTCTCTCTACTTATCAAAAGCCGATCGAATGAATAACAAAAAGTTTCGTTCAACAGTTCTCCAACAATTGTGGGTGGAATATCTTAAAATATACAAATGTATATAGCTTTTTTAACCTCCTATATAAACCAAATAGCACCATATATAAGTGCCTCTTTTTATATTCGCGTGGAGTGCAGTTCTGAATTCAGATTTTAATCCGATTTAGCCAAAGGTAGAACAAAAACAGACCATGAATGGTGTCCAGTTCACGTTAATCTTTTTTTGTTGAGGTAAGAAAAAATGTTCACAAATAGCAGGCTTAGTAGCGGCCTCATATGCTGGTGACTGTCCAGCGGGCGGTGTTCAACCGGAAAGAGCTCTATCTCTGGTGCACCTTGACTCGAAACCACAAACATATTGCTGGGATATGAGAATAACATGACCACAGCCACACACGCAGCACAGCTGCAAGTGAAGTCAAGCTGGGGAATCCCACTGCCTCAAATGGGACTAATGTGTTTTATGGTGGTGAGCTGGCGGAGTGGGCGTCCATTCCCTTAACTGTGGGACAGCTGGAGGCGCCAGAGTGGGAGAAGTGAGCTTCGTTTGCATGTGGCAAAAACAGGAACTTTAATCATAATAATAACACACAACTTTTCGGTTAAATCCGAGCATACATTTACATGCCCCCACCAAGGCATACATATATATACTTGTGCATATGTATAGACTTACATACATATATGCAAACAAGTTCATTTCAACTAGGAAAATTTATATCTGCAGTTTGTGAATAGGGTTGGGTTTAATAATACACAAGCTGGTTCATAATTGAAGCGCTCTATTTTCTGCACTATTTCAATTCTGCATTCTGAATATAATGGACAATACTGCTGGGAAATATGCTAACCGAACAGGCTTTATATTACAGCATAAAATAGCTTAGTAATCATTTTGAAAAATTACTGTTTACAGTGTCAGTGTTGAGAAACGTGTATTGCTGTACTTGCAGAAGTTGTCACCTCGTTGAGGGCCCAACTGTAGACTTAATATTTAACCTTGATTAAAAATATACACGTATATATCAATAATAATTATTTTATTATTTTATTTATGATCATGGTAACCGTGTTGTCTTCCGTTAAAGATTTTTACTATTTGGAAAATTTGATCGAAATTAAATATGGAACTGAATTATAGCGAACTTTTCGATGATCTAGAAGTCTACGAAAATCGGGCGATTCAATATCCTTACATACCCTTACAGAGCCCACCTAAGCCTGTAATTAGGAAGCCCAACGAAGCCTTTTATGTACACCTCCAGGATGCGGTGCAGGAGCAGTATCCGGCATTTGTTATGGCCTATCGCCGCAAGTTTAACGCAAAGACCACGGAGCAGAGACACCAAAGAGCCGAGGAGTGCAGGAAGCATTTCATTAATCAGCGCGTGGATCGACTCTCGAGCAGATTAGCCAAAGTGGCATTGCTGACCTCTGACTACCATGCCAAGCGGAACAACAGCTGGTTAACGTTGCGGAATCACTCGGTGCAGGACATGCAGAAACATCTGCATAAACACCAGCTCAAGTTGATGATGCGCGTGAGGCAACTACGTGCCCATAATAAGCAGGTGCAAAAGCGCAGCGAACTATTGCGATATAGAAACTATCTGACACGCATTGCACTGCAGCATGACGAGAAACGGAAACGCATTGGAATATTTTAGCTGGAAATATATTCAGGTCTGTGGCAAATAGCCTCGCTCTGAACATATTTCCCACTAATAATGTCTATGTATTGTCCGGGTCCAGTAAAAACCATCAACTGGCAATGACGAGCTCAAAAGTTAAAGGACTTTTAAATGCGTCAAATGTTCTAACATGAAACTAGCTCCAACTAAATCACTTGTCAACCTCTGACATATTCCGTTTTTGGCATGACTCATAGAAAAGCGCATAAAATCAGCTGCCTGGCAGCCACAAAAGCCAAATGCCACTCCATTGAATGGGGGTCAGGGCAATTTGCTTATAAATATGCTCGATTCAAAAGGTTCTCGCTGTAGTTTTTTGTGGCTAAAGTTTTCTCTTTGCAGAAAGTTTGCGTGAATGCATCAAATAAGCCATAATTAGCCAGGTCTTCGCTACACTCTCGCCCAGTGGTTGAATCAAGTGGCGATTATGGGTTTTTGGTTAAGCACAAGTATTCCTCTCTATGGGTTGAGGTTGGCAACCGTTCTTGTGCAGCGTCAAAGACAGTGCTCCAGCGTGTTCCCATGGTGCCCGGTGCACCGAAATCATGTGCACTCAAGTGCAATTTCATATGCATTCCAGCAGCTCGCAAAGCTCCTTTGAGCTGCTGGAATGCAAAAGTAACCGACAACTTGACTGTCTCAGGAACTTTGAAGCGTTCTTCTTAGTCTTTGGCATGTGCCAAGTTCAACTTAAATACTTGACCTGTTTGAAAACATATTTAAACTCTGGCCTCCGCATGTTATTCAATTTAACACTAGACCCGGTGCTCAGTGCTCGGTTCAGATCATAAGCATAATATAATTTGAGCCCATTACAAAGCATTAATTTAGGGTGGTGCAATTGAATTATATTCATTACACTTGGCAGAATATTAGTCTATAGTATATTATTATTTCTTTCCAAGAAAGAACTGCATGTGAATACCATTCGGTCCACTGAATTCTATAATTATATTTAATGTAGTCTTAAGAGTGAGTTTGAGTGAGAATATATTTTTACAGATTTGTGCTTCCCAAGAATATTAAAGTATCTAAAAGAAACACAATTGTATAATATATATAAGAAGGTACATAAGAAGGTTTAAGATGTTTGATAAGAAAACGTGTTTGCTCTAAACATAAATTTAAATCCACATCGAAAAGATATGTTTAGAAAAAGTACAGACTAACATTATTTAGAATAGAGAATGATGCAAATGTTGGACTTCTTCAGCTTTTACAGTAATAGGATAGGACGGAATATAAACATCTATTTGAATCTGCACACATGTGCCAATGTATCTAAAGCCCCTTTTGACTGTCTGTCAGCCTTAGGGATCTCGTTGTTCAATTGGTGCCAAAAAACTAATGTGGATATTTTGTGAATAAATACGCCGTGTCACAAATAGGTGCAGCATTTGTTGGTCCTGTCGCTTTTTCAAGCTGCCGGTGTCCCCCCATGGAAATGACGCTGTCATGATGACACTCGACAGCCAACAGAAATTAATTGGAAATTAATTAGTTAAGTAAACTCATTCACTTCATTTCCGATTACAGCACCAAACCATGTGCCAACTGCATGGAAACTTTTCGAGTTGCGCCATCCAATAAGCCCGCCGATTTGTTGACTGACAGTAGCTTTTGCATATGACAACTGAAAAGCACAAACAGCATTTTATTTGGTGAATAACACCATAAATCTAACATCGCAGTGAGTCACAAATATGTTTTGCCATGATTCACTATGCGGAGGAGCCCCAGCACCTACATCCATATATGGAGCTGTGTTTTAATATTAATTTCCCTTTGGCTAGCTGCTACGACTGACTTTTCCGTACCGTACGGAAACAATCTAAAACAACAACCGAGCGAAAAGTTTAAGTACTTCGATTAGCTGTCCAAAACACGTCAAAGCCAAACTAAGAACATTATCAACACACTGATTTTATGTTGGCCCAAGGGCTGAACAGCATTGATATGCAAATTTTATTGCAGGCTTCAGCATATTTCCGAACGTTAACTTGCCGAGGACTTGCTGAGGCGCCTGGGCTAATGAATTGTATTTAACATATTTGTTGCTTGTATATTCATTTGAGAAAGGCAAATGAAGTTGTTTGCCTAAGTTAACTTTCTGTTGAATTAAAACTTTGCCAAGGCAGACCATAAAATAGCTGAAAAATCACTTTGCACAGTGACTCTTCACAATGGTTTAGTGTTGAAAAATGTATATTGCTGCTCTTAAGAGTTGCCACCTTGTTTAATGTGTGTGCCATTATGCTTAGAGGCTTTCTTATAGAATGTTTTAAACTATTATCAAAGCGGATATTAAAATAAGCATAAAGAATAGGTAAAAATGACATTTAGCGTTATGCAAATGTACATGAATATTTTGTAATAAAGTTTATATATAAATATATGCAACAATAGTAAAATGGATGCAGCCATTGCTATCTTCTATAGCTCTGTCCGTTTGTTCGTATCCTCAGACTATTGAAACGAATCGATAATTTAAACTATCCATAACTTGCCACGTTTTTATGAATTAATCTTAATCTGCCTTCTACAATACATTCATATTTCCAAGAGTTTTTTCGAAATGTGAACTTCTCATCAAGTACTTAAGTGGAATTGGACTCAACTACTGGGTAACTTCTGGTCAAGTATACAGCACTTTTGGCTTTTTATTATGGCTTTGTGGCATGCATTATCTGTGATTCATTCACATTGGCTGCAATTGCTGCTGAGCACTTCGGCAGTGCCCGCCCGCAGATTTGTTCAACCGAACAGAAGGTAAAGTTTGCGTTGAGCAACTCATTTAGTTTGCAATTAATTAGTGGCAACTGGCAGCGGTTGGGGCCACAAACTAAAGCGCGTGTGTACTGGGTGGAGTTTGTGTTTTTCATTAAAAACTAAATAGATGCGGCTTCAGCTCGTTTTTTGTTGTTATTGTGTTGGCACGGCAAGTTTGGAAAGCGGTTTCCGGTTCCGGTTCTGCTCCAGCTACAGCTGCAGCTCGTAGGCAGCTTTGCGAAGCCTAACAAAATAACAGCAAAAACGAATAACGAAAAGTGCTTCATACTGAATATTTTTATGGGGCGCGAAACGAAAATGCTTGAAATGCTTGACCCAATTGGCAGCAAGTGCTGATGAAAAAACATGCAAAATATTTACCCCACAGCGCATGAGGGGAGGCTCATAACGCCGCATAATCTTGGGTCAGTAAATGATTTTGCCATTAAAATGTTTGCGCATGTGTGTGTGTCTGTGAAAGAGAAGGGCCGTTTTTGTGATAAGTAAAAGTTTCTTGTTTCTTGCGGCAGCTGTGTGCGAGATTTCTATGCAACAACACGGTCTCAAGCCCCCGAGACCTAACCCTGTACTTACACAATTTGATAACCTACTTTCAGAATTGTCTTGTTATTGTTGTTGTTGTTGTTGTTGTTGTTGTTGTTGTTGTTGTTGTTGCTGTTGCTTGCAACGTGTTTGGGTTGGCAACATTAAAAATTTACACATAATGACATTGAGGCACACTTTGAGCAGCAGCTGGAAGACAGCACAAAGCGCTCGCTGCTCGGTGCACGGGGAACGGGGCACGGGCCACATTCGCACTCGCACTCATGTCCTTGAGCTTATGTTTTTGTTTGGCATTAAGAGCATGTCGAGTCACCAAGTGCGTGGGGACACTTACACACACAGCAGAAGGGGGCATTAGCAGCAGCAGCATCAGCCGTCGGGTCAGATACAGGAAGGTGCGTGGCTTCACACTGTGCAGCCTACAAACTGTGTCTACGTTTTGTTACTTGGGGGCAGGAACCGGGAAACGGAACCCGGCACGGATGTATGAGCCCTTTGTTACAATGTTCGGTTGGCTATCTGTGGGCTGTGAGCTGTGGGCGTGGCTTGGGCGTCAGTGCGCACAGCTTGCCACTTGGGAAATACTTTAAGTCCTTTGCCTTAATAGCCCTGCCTTTTTAAGTTATCGTCTCTGCGTCTCAGCCCCTTGATAGCATTTTCATTTCTTTGGTTTTTTGCTGCTGCCACCGCTCGGTTGAATTATTGTCATGCGATTTATTACGCGCAACGGGCGACGCTCTGCTGCTGCTGTCGCTGCTGCTGTTCCACATGGCGTATGCGTAACAATAATTGTAATAAAATGCACGTTATATTTTGCCTGTGGCTTCACTACGGCAGCATTGCTTGGTTCCACATGCTTCTTGTTGCTCTTCAATATGGCTATGAAACGCTGAGATGCATCCTAGGAGGTACATATTAAATATGCAAGCAGATATACTTATATTCATTTATTAAGGGCTATACGAAAATTGACCTGTCTTCGGCTGTGTCAACGCTTGTTGTTCTTTTGACACAACTTGCTTCCCGCTTGTCAATTGTCATGTACGCAGGTGTCAATTACATGCCCGCCGATTACCATCAGACACTATTTTCCCGACAAGCAGCAAATCATATAATTATGGTAAATTGCGGCCCTGATTCACAATAAAGTAATTAGAATGTGAATACAATATTTGGGAAACGCAATATAAAACTTAATGCTAAGGCAAAGGCTGCTATCAGGATACATTTCAAAGAGGCAAATAAACTCTCAATAATAATGAGATAATAATTATCATAATAATAATAGACTATTTGATAACCTTTTCATTAATACATGTGGACGCAGCAGAGAGGAAAAATCCCGAGAGATTAGATTGAAAATGGATTCTTTGTAGCAAATAAGATATATTAGTTAAGTAAGCGCAAATAATTTTTGGTCTATTATTTGTCGATTATAATATAAGAATTCAAAACAGAATGACGAGCCGAATCTTTGAACCCCTCAAGTACACATATGCTTAATCAGAAAGCGGATCTGATTTTCTCTGTCTCTTCTTCTAGCTCTAACATATGTTGCTAATAATATTCTTATAGCTGACAAAATCTTCAGTATTTGATTGTCAAGTAGCTAACAATCGAAAGCCGAATTCTTCTATGCAGCC